GAAGCTTGGTGAAGGTCAATTGAATTAATACATGTAAAGTGCTTAGCTTGGCACAATTGTTATCCTCAATATATTTTGGCTAATTTTTTTATTAATATTAAAAATAAGTTGGTGAAATGATGGAAAGTGTAGAGGGATTAAAAATCCTAGAAATGTATCTAAATCTTAATTGATTATAAAGAATGGATCATAAACCAATAATTATTCAAAAAAAAGAAAATTATCTATTTGAGAAAACACACATCTAAATGTAATTGTCACCTCATACTTTTGGAGGAAATAAATTCCAACATGACTGAATACCGAAATGTAAAATAAGTAACCACAACCATCAAATATTAGTAAAGACCATAAATGAATATTTTCCTGATTGGTTTATGTTTTCTAAGCATAAAATTACTTTAAGAAGTCATAATAAATAGGTATAAATTAAGAGCTAATCAACAAAATGGAAAAATAAGACTTACATTTTAACAGATTATATGAAAATTAAAAATGAGAAAAATTTTACTTCTTAGCCATCAGGGCAATTTAAGTAATTAAATGTTGAATTATCCTCTTTAGTTATAATTTAGCAATGAAAGTAATAAATGCTTATGAAAGTGAAGTAAGATTTTTATGCATATTATTGTAAATTGATTCAGAATTTCTGGAAATAATTTGGCAATAGATAAAGAACATTAAAGTGATTCTTAGCTGGGAATATGAACGTATGTGTATGGATAAGTGTTATCAGCTATTTTCTCTGGATTTTATAACAATTATAATATTTTCTAGTTTACAAACATCCTATTAAAAATAGAAAAATCAACATAAATAAACCATATTATTAATAGGAATAGAAGTTAACCAATATTTTCAAGATCACAGTTTGTGTTCACTTTCCTTTTATTATTTTTCCTGCATCGCCCTCTGGTGTCCAAAATATGGATAACTTCTGTTACCATAATTTGTAATTGTGCTTACTTAATATGCAAAATTGCATTGTTCACAGTACATAATTTAGGTAATTCATCTAACTAATTATATAATTTAAATTATGTTAAGAAGTTAATTCATATTGTATAATTTAAAAAATACTCATGTTCCAAAGCAGGCTGGTCTGGATTTGAGTTCTTGTGTTTTGCTGATCAACTGCACAGCTTGAGCCCACACTTTTCCTCTATTTTTCTTTTATATGCAAAAGAGAGAGAGAAAAGATCATTAGAACATGTCCTAAGGAATAATTTATATATAGAACAATTTTTCAAAAATCAAGGAATTATAAATTATGTTCAATTATTCCCATTAAAGAATGCTTTATGACAAAGTACCCTAAAAGAAGTTTATAGGAGGATAGAATCCATGGATGAGGAAAAGGAGGGGAAATTAAAGACATGCTGAGTGGTCAGACACATATTAAATGGGCCACTTCTCTTTCTCTGCTGTTCTAAGTGGAAGAATATTCCCTTTGGGATTTTACTTTTAGTTCTTAATGTGTTAGGGTAAAACTCTGTGATCCCACCAACCTTTCAAAGGGAAACTCGGTGTTCCATGAAGGTGTATTACAGGTGCCATTCCTAGACAAGGCTACTTTCCAGGACCTTGATGTTCTCTGACTGTTAGTGTACATCAAGGCCATGCCAACATTTTATGGTTTGTAATCCAGGTTAATCCAATGGGCAGCAGAGCTGCTCTCAGGAATATTTTTTAGAATGGTTTCTTATTCAGTAGAGGACACAGAACAGAAATAGATAACAGCCTTCACAAAACCAAGAGTTTAGGACACCTCATTTGAGAAATTAAGAGTTTGCTTTGGACCTAGAGTATCTTTTAATTTGATGTGTGTACTTGACTGTGATATTTAATAGGAAGGTTCTTTGAAGTTTACTCTTCATGGTTATTTCAGAGAATGTCTTAATATTAAACTAATGTTTGAGGGACCCTTGTTATAGGGTATATTCTGTTAGTGAACTTTATTTGAAGTTTAATAAGCTGGTATTGTTTATCTGAATCTCATGTATCTAGGAATCCATTCTGATTTTGCTACTGATTATACTGATGTTTTTACTAAAATAAATTTTTAAAGGATAGAGTTGCCATTGATTTAACATCTATGTGCTGGCATCTACTTTATGCTAGATGTTTTACACTCATTTTCATTTGACTATTTTAATAGTGTCTGTTTGGAAAGACTACTTATGTTTATGAATAGAGAAATATAAACACACATTACACAGTTAAAATATAATCACTACACTGATAGGTTTATATCTTGATTATTGATCAGCATTTGGACCATCTTCTAATTTTCTTAAATTCCATTCATATATTCAGTAAATATTTATAGTATACCTATTATATACCTAACATTGAGGATGCAATGATAGGATGGCCGTTTTCTTTGACCATGTGGGCTTCTAATCCAGTGGAAGAGTCATTCAAAATGCCATACAAAGAAATATGAAATTATAACTACGATATGTTCTATAAAAAATAAATCTAGGCCTAGGAAAGCTTATTATGGCATGATTTGTCCTGGGCAGGGAAGGTCAGGAAAGCCTTTGCTAAGGAAAGAATGTGGAGGTAAGTGGGATAACCAAGTGTAGAGGAGAGGCAGAGTGCTGTAGGCAGAAGGAACAGGACACGTGAGAGAGGGAAATGAAAGAATGTCCAAGTGCCAGAACACGGTTGCAGAGTCCCTCGTGATTTCCAACCAGATGCTCACATTACCCCACACACTTTCCCTGTGTCAGACGCTCACAGAGATTTTGCTGCAGTTCTAAAAGGGACCTACTTGCTTGGATTTTGGGGGATCAGGAAAGGAATCAGTGTGATGTTAGCTTGAATCTCTGACTCTGTAGGGTTAGTGAAGAATACATCTTTAAAGAAGTATTTAATTAATAGATGACAAAAGCAGAGCTCCTTAAATCTATTTTCACTCACCATATACTACTTCAAAGTTTTATACGGTTATGTTATTAAACTTATGCCTTCCAGTTTTTAATATACATGTGGCTTCTATATTAAATATGTGGTTTATAAAATAAAATATTGGCACATGTTACCAAAGACTACAATTTTAGTTCATGAAAATAAACCTGGTTTATTTTTCTGTTCTAAAAGCAGATGAATATCAGATGTCTGTGAAATGTATACTTATCTAATTTAGACTTTTAAAATGTATCATCCCTTGGGAGAATAAGAATTGCTATAGGGACTTAAATGTAATTTCTTTCTTGCATAATTTATGAGTTTTATTATGAATATAATTGTAGTCTTTCTGATGTACACACTGAATTTGTATTTAATGAATTAAATTTACATTTAATCAGTTTGTGTTAAAGTGATTTAATGAGATGTTTCACTTTTCTGTTTAAAAGCAGGTCAAGGCCAATCAGAAGACTTAAGTCTATACATTATTGAATACTCATTTTCTGTATAACATAATTTTATGATGTATGGTTTAACTAAATCAGTTAATAACATTTCCTATAACTATACCTAATAATTCTCTAAAGTTAAACATTTTGCTATTAATATATTGGCAAATTATTATTTTATTTTCTAACATGAAAATTATCATTCTTTTAAAAAATATTTATTATTTTAAATGGACTTTTAGAAGAATGGAGAGAGACACACACACACACATAAACACATGCACACTCATATAGAGAAACATCAATGTGAGAGAGAAAATTGATCGGTCACTCCCTGATTGGGGATCAAACCCAAAACCTAGGTATGTGCCCTGACCGGGAATCAAACTGCCACCTTTGGTACAAAGGATGGCGCTTCAACCAACTGAGCCACACCAGCCACAGCCTCACATTCTTTTACTTTCAAAATGAAACATGTAGATTAAGATTGTGTCACACCATCAAAGATTGGAAAGTAATGAACTAGGCAGTGGGAGTTAAAACATTCAAATTTATAAACAACAGTAAAATATATCAGAAGCTTATTCTCGTATATATGATGAACCTGAATGTAGTGTTCAATGTTAAGGTAAGAACTCAAAGTACCTGTGCAGGACATTTTACTTGTTATTTAATATTCACTCCCTCCAAACCATCTCTTCTCTCACTTTACCCTGATGACCTTGCTTCATTGTTCACTGGGGACAAAAGACACAGACAGTAACTGTCATCTGTTCAACACCCAATCTACGCACCCCAATCTACGCACCCCAATTATCTGTGCACCCCCATTATCTCTGCTCGGCTCCCACTCTTCTTTCCTAGAACTTGGAAGTCAACACATGTTTTCTTAAAGGATCATTTTTATAGCTGCCAGCTGTATTCCCTCCTTTCCCACCCTCACAAGAACTTTATTTTTTACCTCTTTTCTACAGGGTGTTCCAAAATATGTATACACACTTTAACAGCTGATTCTATTACATTTTGAAAATGAAATACAGTTTAATCAGCACTGCCTTTATAATTATTCAAAATGTGTATACATTTCTGGGACACCCTAATTTCCTACCTCTTTTCCTTCCTTTTCTCTTTAGTATCAATCCTCTCCTGCTCTAGTGACCATTTTAAAGAAGCCCTTCCTTGCCCCCAGATTTACCCTTACAGGTACTTCGCTCTCTTGCTTCTCTGCTTCCCACCCAGGCGCTTTGAAGGTGACCCTCTGAGCATGCTCTCACCTCCCACGGTTCTCCAGTGCACTCCGCTTTCTTTCTTTCTTTCTCCTTTCTTTCTTTCTTTCTTTCTTTGCTTATAAAATTTGAGAGCTGGAAGGGACTGTATATAACTCAAATCCCAAATTTATAATCAGGGAAACCAGGCTTCAGGAGGTAAGTGACAGGCTCAGAGTTCCAATATAACTTCAGGGCTTAGGTGAAAATTACTACTTGATCCTCAGTATACTTTTGTTACCAATCTATTCTACCTTTTTTTTTTAAAGAGAAAGCAATGTATTAGGATTGAGAATTACAAACAATAAATTCAAAGAAAATTACATGGTTGATTTAAAGTTCATTTATATGTTCACTGTTTTATCTTTTTCAGTTTAACAGCAATGCCCAGGATGTAAGCTGTTTTCAGCACCTTGTACAAGCAAATGTAAGAAACAAGAAAGTACTAAAAGACGCCGTGAATAATATCACAGCAAAAGGGATTACAGATTATAAGAAGGGCTTTAGCTTTGCTTTTGAACAGCTGCTTAATGTAAGTAGCAATACCATCCCCTTTTCTTTTTCATTATTGAATTGCAGTTGCTGAATTTTAATATCCTGATAGTTAAAGCTATCTGGGTTAGATAACAGTGCTCTTTTTCATTTGTTTAAAAAGTGGATGTGTCCAGGCCATAGAAATCTTTGTACTACTTTTATTTTTAAATTCAAATTCAAAAGGTATACAAAATTCATATTTTCTTGTCCTTTTAGATCTTCTATCATATTTTCAAAATATGTTTAGAAACATATTTGTAAGGTATTTTAATTTTGCATAAGCACTTAAAACTTAGTTGGCATAATTAGAATATCATTTATTTTTCCTTCTATCAATTGCTACATTATTTTTTTGGAAATTTGTTCTTTTAATCATCAAATGGTTGGTGGAAAGATTTTAGTTTTAAACATCTACGTTGGGTATTTTAATTGTTCCTAAATGTACAGAAAGGTCAAAATGGTAGACAGTAAGTTGAGAGGGAAGATAAGTCCCAAGCAGGAAATCCTCAGGGAAGATTCCCCTGAACTAATCACCCACCCATGACTATTGGACTCGGACAGCCTGCTGCCTGACACTGGACTGTATTTTCAAATGGCTGTGCCAGCTTTTTCATTCTGAACTAGTTGAGAGCAGGAGTTTTCAGTTTTGTATCTCTCAAGAGACAGTATTTTCACTGTGTTTGAGAGTGAGGACCTAATCGCTCTGTACCTTGGTTTCTTCTCTTATACAGTGGAGGTCACCATCACATGTACATCAGATGGTTGTGGACAGAGGTGTTTATAGTATCTGACCCACAGTAATCCTCATGTGTAATGTAAGCTGTTGGGCTAGTGTTGGAGTTAAGATCATGATTACTATAATTAACAACTAGTACATGGCTGGTACAGAATCAGCAGATAATTCCTAATGAATTTGCTGAATCAGAAAAGCCCTTACAGGTGATCTTTTCTTCAAATTTGACTTTGATGTTCCCTAAGTGAATCTTTTTAAATAGGATTTGAGAGTCTGATCAGTTGGTTCATTCATTTGTTCATTCGGCCAATATTTTTGAGTGTCTCACAATTTCCTGTCACAGCACCAGAGCTGGAATTATAGAAATACTCCAGACCATTGGCTCTTGAGAAGCTCCAGCATACAGTAAATCATTATCCCAGTACAATGAGTTAGGGCCATCACGGGGCATTCAGAGTGTGTTTCTGGAGCAGCGTGGAGGAGGAACTCAACATACCCAAAGGGGATCGGGGAGGTGTGGCCTTTCCTTGAAAACAGGCTTTTGAGCAGTGAGTAGAATCTAGGTAGGTAGCCAAGAGAGGGGAAATCATTTAAGATAAAAAGAACTGCATGGACAAATGCCAGACGACATGGAACCTTGGGAGAATTGCGGGCTATTTGGCCATGGCTGGGGCATAGCAATACAGGAGCAGTGATGGAAATGGAAACACCATGAATTGTCAGTTAATGAAGTGTTTAGGAGCCAGGCAAATGGTAATGGTATGGAAATGACATGCTCTAACTAGTGTTTGAGGTTAAGCTATGGTGGGAATCCTGGTGTTGGAATAGTGGTGAAGAGATGTTAGGAGTGACAGGGTAACTAGACCAGGGAAAGAGGCTGCTGAGTGGCAAGAGGGATTTGGGTGACTCTAAGTTCTTTTAACAAGACTACTATGTAGATAACGGCACAGGAATCTAGATACTAGAGGGAAGGTGAGGGTAGAAAGAGCTGTTTCAGTTATGTTGACTGTTAGATGCTGTTAAATAAGTAAGTAAGGAGACAGAAAGGCAAAGCAGTCAGCACTGCAGTTTTGAAAGGAAGTTATATTTGGTAAAAATGCATTGCGTTAAATGATGTACGTTCATTAATAAAAATATGACAACTTAAAACTTTGAAATTCAAATGTAATTGGCCACTAGATTCAGATATATTCTTTCTATAGAAAAGGAATATAATTTTGTAAACTAATAATTATTTATCTCTTGAGTCAGTAATCGAGTTTTCCAGATTGGCAGGTTCATTCTTCTTCTCAGTGTTGTTCATTTAGCTGGCTTCCTTCCCTCTTATTCAGGTTTCACTTGTGAAATGCTAAGGTGTCTCAAGCCTAATGTAGGATTTCAGAGGCAGTCTCATTAGAGAGGCCACATTAACTCCCAGATTCATTGCTAGTTGCTGATAAAATATAACTTTACTTCTCTTGGCCTCTGGTGCTGCCTTTACCACCATTGTAAAGGAGTTTTATTATGTCTCTGTCATTCCTGGAGTAAATCTCAAATGTTCTGCTTTCCACGTGCCCCTTAGGTATGCACTTCTCCATTTTAAAGTAATTTTCCAAATGTCACGGCCTGCCTTATTCACAGTTGAAGCACATTTTGTTATTTCAAACACTTCTAGTCCTCTTATTATCATGTAATGCCATTCCCTGTTTTTCTGTAAATCCTTGCAAGGTTTACCTTTGAGATCACTGAAGCAAGCATCAAATAGAATTAGACATATCATTTTCCCCATAGTAAGCCTTAAATTAAGATTTGAATTATTCTTCAGGTAGCGTTTCATAAAATGTTTCCAAATACATTGAGATGCAATTTTTAAAACATTTTTATTGAGTGCATAGATGCTGCTCTATGTACTGGCCATGCAGGGATACGGCAAAGAAGGTTATGAAATAATATATTAAAGCAAATCAACTTATTGAAATAGTCATGTTCTTTATTTTACTTAATTCATTGCAAGCCAGTCAGGTATAACTCCGTGACTGTGTGATTGTGTGATTCTTTAGATGATTGCAAATGCACTGAAAAGTTCTGTGATGTACTTTGCTTTATCAAAAGTCCTGAGAAGGCTGCTTCTAGGAAAAATCATGTCGAAAACAAAACATTTTATTTCCATTTTCATGTGTCCTAATCTCTCTCTCCTGGGAAAGGTTATTATTACTTTATTTGTACCAATATACAAAGATCAGCAGCACCCGGTGTGCTAAGTTACATTGATATTTGCATTCAGTGATAAAATACCTCTGCAACTTTAAGGAAACTAAGTCCTGTGGTAGAAATTTGACTTATCACTTTTATGAGACAATCTTTTAAATACATATTTATTTTGCCCATGTTTAATATACAGATAAAAAAGACAAATCATTAGGGAAATTAATTTTAGTTAAGGGATTTCAACACCTTTCACAAAGTATTTTGATAGTCAAATTTTTAGACAGTTACATTCAAAGACAAGAACCACGTTTGAATGGGACAAATTGTTTTAGTCAGTTCTTGTGTTTCACAATGCTTGGATGAAAGCTTTAACTGCCAGTCTTCTAATGCCTAGTCAATGGGGTGAGATTTTTATGAAATAGGATTTTTTTCATCAGTAAAGCAAATGTTGTTTTTCTTAGCTTGTCCAACAGGAAATGGGGTTTATCTTTTTAAAAAAATAGAGCACTGCCCTCCAACAGCTTAAACACTGAAGGATAATTAATGATTTAAATATATATATTAAGGGCCAGGTTAATGTGCTGTCCAATATGGTAACCACAATCATATATTCTGTTGAGCATTTGGGATATGCCTGGTCTGAACTGAGATTTAAAGACTTATTATGAAAGAAAAAGTATATGTTATCTGAAGAATTTTTACATTGATTTCATATTTAATTGATAATATTTTGGATGACCAAGTTAAGTAAAATATATTGTTAGAATTAATTTCAGATATTCTTACTTTCTTTAGCATGGCTATCAGAAAGTTAAAATTATAAATTAGGTGTATCTCCATTGATACCACTAGGCTGGCTAGGGGGTTGGCATTTTGAAAGAAGATGAGCATTCATAAATTAATTCTAAATTCAACACTTAATGCAGAAACACACTTTACAAAAGTAAAAAGGCTGACATTATTGTTTCAGACCTCAAAGAAGCCCATATTCCTAAATTAAATTCATGAGAGGGGTCTTTTGGTGCTCATCCATTGTTCTCCTATTATTGACTCTTTTGGGACCTTAAAGTTCAAGAGATTTACATTAGGAATTGAGTCTTTCAGGATTAGAATATGTGTGGCAGGTTGAGAGAACATAGCAGAGGCTATTCTGGGAATAGGTATGAACATTTACAAAGATATGAAAGAACATTGGGTATTAGGGATCAACTAGGAGTTTGTAATTTCAGCAATGTAAAGTTAATAAAATAAAGTAGGATGAAGGAGGGAAGGGAGGAAAAATGTTTGTAAATGGTTTAAAAATATATGTGAATGGGTATGAACAATTTTTATTAATATTGTTTCTGGTTTAAATTATGGGGGGAATGACAACATAACTATTAATTAATTTAAAATCTATTAATTCACCACTGAGAAATTATGTTCTAGGCACTTACCTAGGCAAGAAAAAGGCACTGAACAAAAACAGGACTTCATGCCCTCATGGTCTTTATATTTAATTATGCAAAGCCAACAATGGGCAATCAAATCCAATATCCAATATATAATGCTGTGAAGAAATACAGCCTGGGAGGGAGATTGCAATTTAAAAATGTAGCTTCTGGAAAAGTTCTCATTGATAAGGTGACATTTGATCAAAGACCTGAAGGAAGTTGGAGCCTATGGATGTCTGGAGTGGGGGTGGGGGCTGAAGGGAAGGCTCTGTGAGGGGATGGGCCTGGACTCATCCAGGAACCAGTTCTTAGGATAAACATATTGGGCATATATTTTACTAATTACTTGCATCCTCTTCATGCTCTTTCATATGCTTTATATTTCTACCTTTTATTATGAATGACATACACATATATATCTTTTCTTTACAGTATAATGTTTCCAGAGCTAACTGCAATAAGATTATCATGCTGTTCACGGATGGAGGGGAGGAGAGAGCCCAGGAGATATTTGCCAAATACAACAAAGACAGAAAAGTGAGTGTAATTTTACAATCTTTTTTTTTAATCTTTACCTGAGGATATTTTTTTATTGATTTTTAGAGTGAGTGGAGGTGGGGGAGAGAAGGAGCGAGAAAGAGAGAGAAACATCAATGTGAAAGAGAAACATTGATCATTTGCCTCCCATAGGCACCTGGACCAGGGATTGAACCCTCAACTTAGGTATGTGTCCTGACCAGGAGTCGAACCATGCTCTCCTGGTTCATAGGTCGATGCTCAACCGCTGAGCCACACCTCCCAAGCTCATTTCTTTTAACAACGACATTTTGTGACATGCTACACCTCATGTTAAATGATTCACATCACATTTACTTTTGTAAAACTAATGAACCTCTCATATGCAATACTGCTGAATTTCTGTTAATATATTGTCTATTGTGCTTTAAGGACATGCACTTCTCTTAAAAACACATATCTTTTGTCGATACCAAAGCAACTTTGAAAATTCAGTAATTAGCCCTTAGTTTATATGATTTTTAAATAAATTTTATTTTTATTTAACATAAAAATTAGGATGTTCTTGAAGTTCAGTAGTTTCCTTATTTTCTAACATGGGAAAACTTTGTTAAACAAACACATTTCCATCTCCTGGTATTGCCATGTTCTGTAACTACTAAATGAAAATAAGTGATGACCAACAAACACTTTTAATTCAGTTCTACTTTTGAATGTATTTGCATTTTGTTCAAATAGCATTTACATATTTAATTGTTTATGTAAAGGACATATGAATATATTAGCACATATATGTATATATTAAAAATAGTATGTATCTGTATAAGGGAGATTTTTTTTCCACCATCTTCACATTGTTGTGGATGAACTGAAGAATCTTTTCTGACTTCCTCTCCTCATTCAAACTTCCCAATCTTCCATGCACCTACCGACCCTGTCTAAGGCATTGCAACCCACAGACCCTGGTATGGAAGATAGTTGTCTATCTTTGTCATCTAAGGATATGTATGATAGATCAATTCCATACCTGCTCAATTAATACTTGATACATAATTATCAACTCAGAATTTCACTAGCCATATGATCTTTCAAAGGACCAATGTGTAAAAGTGAAATTTGATAGATTTAGATATATACATTTTCAGTACTCTTAAAAAGTCTATATGTGTTTATAACTTTGTTTAAAATATGCTCTTTAAACAAGAAGTTCATTTGTAGCTTAAAAATACCAAAATTATAGTCATGAAGAAAGTTTGATTAGCTTTTTTTAAAAAATCTGAAAACTACTCTTTGAATGCTATTTTTCTCCCAAGCCTCTTGCTTGACATTAATATGGCTGCTAAATGCCTCATTTACAATCATTTTTCATCCACTTGACACCAGAAATCACTCAGAGCACCCAGGTAGGTGTGATGAGGTGCATCCAGAGAACTGATGAATGAAGCTACAGATACACAGCACAATTTAATGAGGCCAAAACATTTGAGAGTTAGAACAGAATGTTTGGGTTCTTTTGCGAAATGTATTACTCTGGGGGATTATAGATAGGTACAGCTTTAAAACCAAATCCATGTTAATCTCCTCACACAGCTGTTTCAAATTAAAATGAATTCGCTTTCTAATCTTTACCTGCCGCAATGCCATTACTTAGGGCTCACCCATGTGTACTAGACATCCTTAAAAATGGTGCCAAAAGTAAAATGAACTCTATCAGAGAGTCCAAACAAATGAATAAAGAAAAGTAAAACCAGACACAGAGCTGAAAGATAATTTCCAGGCCCAGCAAAATTAAGATAGTGGCCCTTCTGTAGAATAGCAAAGGGGTTGCTTAACATCACACATTTAAGCTTGTCTTGCCAGTTAGAACATTGCTCTCTGATTCTTAGCTTAATTCTCAGAATTAAAAAATGAAAGGCAGTGAAAATTAATAAAGTGGGTATTTCAAAACAACTAGTAAATGACTGAGAACAAGTGGAAAAAAGCATATGATAGATGGGGAATAATTTTCAAAATAAAGAATGAATAGCTATAAAATTTAATCATCTGACAATAGATACATCATTTTTTTAATTAAATAAAAAGTCTGTCCTAATTTTCTATCAAATCCAAAGTAGCGAGATAAAATCTATACCCTATAAAATTTTAAAGCAAATCACAAATGGCTGACTCTGTGTATGTGTTTTATATGGTAACAGTGACAATTTTCAATTTTTCAACAGATGGTAGGGAAAATTATTCATGGAAAATAATTCATTGCCTTCTCTCTTGTCTCTCTCTGGCTACTTCATCAGGCAAGAATAAAGCCTTTAGAATGAATGTTCAAACATATGATAATGAGGGCATTCAGATGTGTAAATTTTTTTTAATGTGTTTTTATTTCAGAAAGGAAGGGAGATGGAGAGAGAGACAGAAACTTCAGTGATGAGAGAGAATCACTGATCAGCAGCCTCCTGCATGCCCCAGACTAGGGGTTGATCTTGAAACCCTGGCCTGTCCCTGACTGGGTATCAAACGTGACCTCCTGATTCATAGGTCGATGCTCAACCACTAAGCCACACTGGCTGGGCCAGATGTGTCAAATTATTTAATACTATTTAACAAATGCACTGCTTCTAAAATATCTGTAATAAAACTTTTCTAAAAAAAAAAAGATACTTTCAACAGTTTCCAAATGATTTTTAATGTTAGAACAGGAACTATACCTTGTTGATAAAATCAAATATATTATTTTATACCAGAGTTACTGGGTAGCTGAAAGCAATAATTGCATTGTAAGACTGGCCCTGCCAATAGAGAGATTATCAAAGGCAGGTTTTGTGCATGTGTGTGTGACTGTGTCCTCCTCTTTAACAGGTTTATTTACATTCGTTTCTTTCTGAATAAAGTTAATGTTGACAGTTACCTAAACTAAGGAAAATGTTATCAGACTAGTGGCCTGATGCATGAAATTCGTGCAAGAGTAGGCCCTCACAGCCCCGGCTGCCTCGGCCCACTCAGCCCCGGCTGCCTCGTGGCCCAGACTGCCTTGCAGTACTGGCCCCGCCCACTGGTCATTCTGGAAGGTCATTCCCCCATCTGGCCTAATTAGCATATTATTTCTTTATTATATAGGATATATTTCCTTCAGTCATATTACTTCATGTATTTTATAATCTTTAATATCTAAAACAAATCTTATGAAAAATGAGGTTAAGTATTAATTAAGCAGAAAGTGTAAAATATAGCATAAACCTCAGAGGATAGAAACTGCACTTGAAGTAATTTCTAGGTAGAACTGTATCACCTGCAATTGGGATTGCCCATTGTTTGTGTTAAAACTTCACATCAGAAAAGGCATTCCATTCTCCTTTTTCGGTGGCTGCCTCATTGATAGATGAACACCTCTGTTTACAATATATCTCTGTAGGTGTCTTCCTCACCCAATCTTTCTAGAGTGGCCCCTTCCCCCAGAAACTCCCTTAGCTTTCTCTATGTCAGCATCCTTTTTTCCTTTTGTTTTCTTTCTCCCAGATTACCATTTTTAATTTTACGAATATATTTGTTCACTCTTTAATTTGAACTCCCCTCTATGATAAGGTAGGGTTTGTGTTAATTTATAACCAACCATTAAACCCTTAGTGGTTAGCACAGTGCTTGAAACACAGTAGTTGCTACATGATTACTGACATACTAATATCAGTAAATATGCAATAAATATACACCTGAGGTAAACCATAAGAAATTCATAAATGTCAGGAGAAACTCATAGCTTTGTTCTTTTAATGGGAAGTCGCTTAAAACAATATTTGTCTTATAATTGGAATGTGGAGTAAAATTGACGGTCTATTCTTACACATCATCTTATAAGTAGGGAGGATTTAAGTTTATATAAAAATGATTGTATCAATGGCACTTTTCCATTGACCCTAATCAGTCCAACACATAGTTTTTCATGAGGATTCTCATTATTAGTGTCAGTAAAGTATTTGGCTTTACTCAAGAATAACATTTGAAATAAATCACTATATTGCTTATTTTCTGATATCTCAGCTGACAGCAGTCTTTGCAGAGTTACAAATTGCTTGGAAATGCAATGGGCCTGTAACTTATTCTTTCCTTATAAAGTACTATAAATGAAGGCAGAAGGAGGGGGAACTCAAAATTTCTTCCTTATAATCTGATCATGTAAGGGTGATTCATTATAATTGTTGTTTATAAATTAAAAATACCATCATAATCCCAACTCATGTATCTGTGTTATGCACCCACATGTAAGATATGAGAGAAAAAGAAATATCTGCTTCTTTTAGATAAAAGTAGATGACTATTGCATTTCACTTTTCTTTTTAAAGTTGTTTCATATTGTTAACTTAATCAAATCCAACAAACATCAATTAAATTATTGCTTCTGTCAGACCCTTGGAAATTCCATACAGACATATCTCATAGGAACAAAATGACATTTAGACAATATTAGACTCTTTTATTTAGAGCTTATTGTTAAATGTAAGAGAGTGAGCCAAATTTTTTCCTTTAGAAAGGTATTATTTTGAGGAATTTTAAGTTCATTTTGAGGCATGAAAGGCTAATGTCCCACTAATGGGAAACGTTACCTCTTTGAATTCTGATGGTTTGACTACAGAAGACATTCTAGTCATCACTGTTACTGTTGTTATAATTATCATCATCTTCATTACCGTAGCTAATATGTACAGAGCTCACAATTTTTCATATAATATAAATGCTTTGCATGTATCATTTTATTTTCAACTGGATTAATCATATAATAAAAGTATTTTTATTATCATCCTCATTGACATTTTGGAAATTAGAAATTCAAAATTTGAGAAGTTAAAGTAACTTTTTGAAAGTCCCACAGCTATTAAGTGACAGAGTCAAGAGTTTAAATGATCTACAGTCCACATTTCATAGACTTATGTGGAATGTGCCTGGCGGTCCTCTGTCTCTCTCTTCTCCCGGGCAGCCCTGTGGCTATGCCCGTCATCATTTGCCCACCCAGGAGCCTTCCTTCTTATTGGACA